ATCACCTAGCAGTTCAAATGACAATTAGGTAAAATACTTATTTATCTCTCAAACAAAGCAGACTTATTCTCAGATATTTCATATTAATTTTATATATGAGCCATTCCATATAAGCCACAACCAGTCCTACTCAATTGATAGTCATCGATTTGACTAGCTTTTATATTTGTTATAGAGACAAGTATTAAATGAATTTCTACGTAAATCTTTTCAAAAAGTTTTGCTCCATTCTCGACACATTTAAACTTCTCTGAGAGTACTCTCGTCAAAAAATGAGATATTTTTTGTAATTTTTTGTGGCATCGATATCTCTTCAAGAATACATCCGTTTTGCTTAAAATTTTTGTCGTAGGTCCATCTCTAACATGATCCGTTGTTGAAATAGGCCTATGCACAAAATATCGAAAAATGATAATTTGGTCATGCACTTGGTAGTATGGGTCAACTCATCGATAGTTCACGCATTGGGCCTCATTTTTTATAGCTAATATCATAATCTAAGATGGATCTGCAGTAAAAATTTTAAACGAAATGATTCTATTCTTGACGAGATATCAGTGCTACAAAAGATCGCAAAGAATATAATTTTTTGACAAGGATACTCTCTGAAAAATTTGAATGTCTCAGGAACGAAGCAATATTATTTGAAACGATCTGCGTAGAAATTCATCAAACACTTGCCTCTATACCATATATCAAAGCCAGTTAAATCGACGATCGTTAATTGAGCAAAATCGGTGGTAGCTTACGCGGAATGGATCATATATAAAATTAATATGAAATATCTGAGAATAAGTCTGTTTTGTTTGAGAGATAAATAAGTATTTTACCTAATTGTCATTTGAACTGCTAGGTGATTGGCCTATCAATCATCATTAACAACACCGAACATTTAAATGAATTTATTTCATCACTTTGCTATGTTACTCTGCTACAATCAACAGAATTTTTTTATTCGACAATACAGATATTATAAAGAAATAGAAGGGGATTTATTTAACAATTATTCATAAGACTCGGCAACACAATTTCTTCGGAATCAATATGTAAAACATGATATAGCTGCTGTTGCTAATTACATGAAGATTATTTTATTCTATGTATTTTGAGATATACAACCTGGACAAAAGCTCTTCCCTCTCCCGCTTCACAAAGAAAAGGAGGTAGAGAGAAGAGGGAAAGACATTTGTCCAGGGTGTATTTCATTATCATCCTTTTGTTTTCTACTGAAAGAAGAGTAATGTGTCGAGTGTTCGCTTTACAGAACGAAAGAAAAAAAATTATATTGTAACATGCAAAAAAACTCGTGGATACCTGTTTCTTATGTTTCGCAAGGGATCACTTTAGAACTATTACCAATCAATAGAATGTAGTTCTATGCATCCAGGAAGATTAGCGCGTCCCCCAAAGTGTTATTCAGTCTCATAAAAAGAACGAATTATTCAAATACCTACCGCCTGTCAGCAGATTTTCCAGTCATTTCGCACTACTGGAATAGTGATTATCATAATGCTATTCGAAACTATCAGTGTGAAGAAGACCTTTGCCCGTATTATCCAATATATAATTTCCAACATTTAAGAGCGAAGTATTGTGGAGCATTAGGATTAGCAAAGCAATTTTGTAGCCAACGGTTACCTGAAAACTTAGTGGCATGAACTGCAGATTAGTTGAAAAGTTGTGTCAGGTGATCGAGCAATTTGTTTATATGAGAAAACACGCGAATCTCGATGAATTAAAGATATTTCTAAGCAAAGAATCATATAGAATTATTATGTAAATTTTAAGTTTTTTCACGGTTTGTAAGGAAACTAGGTTTGTCGCTCTTATTGAATCGAGGAGAGAGTGAATCATTTGTTAATAGCTGTAGTTTTGGACTATACTGTATGCATTATCTATCGCTTAAAAAGCTTTCAATATTCATCGCTTTCAGTAGGAGAAATTTCGGAAAACTTATAGGCACTTGTTTTTGTACCCTACTCTATATACAGAACGAAAGAAAGTATATGTATATACATGTCGTAGTAGGAATTAAAATTCGGTAGAATTGAAAATTCTATTAGAAACTTACATACTATGGAAGTATTTTAATTTCTACTTTAGTAGAAATTAAAATACCTATTTATATATTGATAATGATATATCGAATAAAAAGAAACAAAAAAGGGCAGTGTGGGTGAGAGTCTGAGATTTGGGTGCTAGTGCAGAGAAGATCACATTCCACACCGAGATTCATCCACACTTCGCATTCCCACCTTGATTTAATAAAATGTAACTTTTAGAAATTACAAGCTATTGATTCTCAAACATTACCAACACGTACATTTATGCAAGCCTATAAAGATTATGTTAGTAGTGGAATTAGTCCAGTTGTAGGAGCTTGTAGTACGACGAAAAAATGTTCATGCACAGGAGCTAAAGCACTGTGTAATACACAATGCCATCCTGATAAAAAGAAGGCTGAATAATATCCACCGAAAGCGTGAAATTGTTTCATTTCAAGCAGAAAGACTTCATTCCACAAAATTTCAGCAGAAATGCTTTTTGAACAAACAACATTGCTGACACAAGATCATTCACATCAAAAGAAATTGGACACACAGCAGATAGAAATCACTCATCTGTTTCTACTCTCGTAAAAGTCAAAACTGACAAATCGTCCATAAAATAGTGATTGGTAGGTATATGTTTATATTCTATCGATCTTTTTTCTTGCTGAAATATTCGTTTATGGTAAATTATATATGATATACATAAGTATATATTTTTTTTTTATTTCTTCTCGATATCTTTGACTTTATGTGAAATGAACTATTTCTTCATAAACAGCAACAATTTTTCCGTTGATTGATCCAATGATCCATTGCTGGTTGATTTAGGTTAAGAGAAGAACTCCACTCACACCCACATTCTGATTTATCGAGGACTTATCTTACTTGTCTTTTATTCGTTATTTTTTTTAACAAGAATTTGATTTAGCTTAAACTTTTCATATGTTCAATAAAAAGAACATATATTCAAGTCTCTGGCGATATTTGTATTATTTCTGTTTTTGATATTTCTATTTTCGACCAAAATTGAGATAACCTTAAATTTCTATCCTACATATTTCGACACTCATTGTAGATCGTGTTTCACAATAGGAAAAATTAAAAGAGAATAGTAATAAAATTTAATACTTGATTATTCTTTTGTTTTCGAAATATATTTCTATTTTCTTTTTTCCTAAACGATCAAATATGTTTGTTCTTCAAAAAGCATTTGCATTTTTTTAGACTATGAATATAAACATTTTTTTAATACGAATGTAATCTATTTTTGCAACAATTTCTTTATTTAAAAAAAAATACAATTGAACTAGAAATTTATATTTAATAATTAAGTAGAAGTTTCATTCAATTTCTCATAAATGCATTTAATTTCACAATGACCATTTTTAAAAGTACTATCAACACATCCAATTATTCCACCATAATTTACATGTTATCATAACATTCTTTTACTAATGTTTTTAAAGTTTCATCATATGCAAATGGATTACATCCACATCAAGTCACTGATCATTTCGTTCGTTGCGGTTTTTCTGAATAAATTCGTTTGCGACATTGAAGAATTTGTTCAATAATTTCTTCATCCATTTTTTGTTCTGATTCTCTTGCGAAATTACTACAAATAAATAAAATAAGCATATGGTTATATGGGTGACTATGAAAAAAACTAAAACGATTTAGAGCAATAAAAATAAAGTCCGAATTAAGTTATGGTGGGGTAAATTGTATTGAACATGCTTTTAAACAACTAAGTAGAATTTTACTTGGAACATATTTACTCAAATAATGACGATAACCTTGTGTAGTTATACAAATAGGATTATTCTTATCAATTACTATATCAATATTTGTAACAATATTATTTAATTGAATAGGAAGAGTGAAGTCACATGTTTCAACATCATCATCTGATTTCAACTAAGATTTAGCTGAAAGTTCATCAAAATTTGATGTTTCATAATGTTCAATATAAACAAGATTCATATCAACAAAACGATACATTTATTCATCTGATGGAGTATAATGTACATAAAGAGAATTTTCTGGATGATAATGATGAATCCAACAAGTTCCAAGGTGAATAGGTTCATTCCTATCACAAATATATGTATCGGTGTAAGTTCGATTACGAACCTCAATGATTAGAAAATGAAGAATAGATCGATATTTTAGAAGTTCTAATGCAGTAGCTATTTTGGTATCGATATAGAAATGATATCAGTTTGTCAAAATTTATCATTTGACCAAGTAATGACATGACGCGAGTGTCATAATACAACGTGTATTTCACTGAGGTTAATGAGAAACATTTCAATTTGAAATGTTTTTTTCAAAACATAAATCAACAGTTTCACTATTAACATTCAATTTAATTAAAGTTGAAGACGTACTATAATAGTTATTGATAATGACTTATGTACTAATACAAATCGGTAATGTTCGATCAAAAAATGCTTGACGAAAGTTCAAATTGATTACTTTTTTACATAAAGATAAAATCAACAAATAAATACTTGATAGAGTTTTAAAAGCTTCTTTTGTTAATTCATCTTCTATTTTGAAAAACAAAGATGATAAGTAATTTGCATTTAACATCTTTATTATTTTCTTAAGTAAAACAAATCAAATAAAATAGTACTTCTGTTAGATATTGAAAAAATATTTCTTCTTGAAAATTAACAAATGATAATCAGTAAAGTTGAGAATAACTGACAAAGAAAAAGAATAGATTCTATTGAAAGTGATTTAGTTCGATATTTATTGACTTAGTAATGAATTCTAACTAAGATTTCTTCACATATTCTTGAAAAAAAATTCGTTGTGTATTGAAGAAATATGATCAACTACAAATCGATCAGGTACAGTTTGCTGAAGATAGTGAGTAACATTTCATCAGAATATAGTGACATGATTATAATTCGAAGTATTCATGTCTAACTCAAACTTCCTATTCGTTTCAGTATCGATATATCTGCATTTTCTTGTTGCCATCTATGAGAAAAATAAAGGATGAATGCTCATGTCGTAACATTAGACAACAATGAAAGTATGATAGTATGTTTGTTCTTTCTTGTGCTATGAAACTAAACTTGAAAGTTAGATATTCTATTATTTCTGACGGATTTGTTTTATATATAATACCAATCACAATATAACTGAAGAAAAAAGATCATATATGATAACATGCGTTAGTTCGAACCAAGATTGGATATGGGTGGAGATATGTTTACCTGTACTGACATTCTATCTTTGAGATATTAAGTTTTCGACAACGTCACATTCTACACGATACTAATAAAGAAACGGCTAGATTTGGAAAAGTTGATATCACGTATAATACTACATCGAAAAACTTTGTTCGCAAGTTAGTCTAGTTGAAATCTTAATTTTGGCAAAGTTTCCGGTTAAAAAATTGGGGTCAATGAGGAGAAAATATACTAAAAATTCCATATCTTCGTCAAAAGTCTAATAAATTAATAAATTCTTTGGAAGTTTTTAGAATCAGATACTCACCTACACTTAGACAAAATATGGACTCAATTATCTACAGGCAGTGTTCTTTATTCAGAAATTAAAAAAAGCAATAGATTTTTTTATAAATAAAAACGAAAAATTATCTAAACAGACGACTGATAATTAATTTTAAGTTTTTCAAATTCTTCTAATTAATCAATTTCACGCTTAGATTCTTTGGAAACGTTTAGAGCAATTTCTTCAACTGCATATTGATTATCAAAATGAAGCCGAATGCAATATCGATTGTGCGAACGAGAATTTGATGATTGACTTACTGAACAATACACTATAAAAGGTAATTTTCGAATGAAATAAGATATCACACCGCATATATTTTTATTTCAAAAAAACATATTAACCAATAGAAAAGCATTTATATAGATACAATTTTTCTCTCAATGAAAATAAAATCAACTCGATGTTCTTGCCTCACTAATAAATTTATCAATAGACCTAAAAACAGGATCTTTATAAGTAATTTTGAATGAATTTATATTAATTTTAATATAAGGTGCTGCTGCTGCTGTGTCATCGTTGTAATATTTCAATTGATTTTGTATGAAATCTTCATCAAGAAGATCTGGTCTATTATTAAGAATACCTATGATCTGAAGATAATTACGATGATTTTCTAGATAAAAGATTTTAGAAGAAATTTACTCAGTAAAATTACAATTCTACTTCGAATTTCTTCATCTTTCAGACATAAAACATCGACAAGTTTATTAATAACATCTATTGATTCTATAAAATTGTCGATTGTTTGTTTTGAAACTTAACTGAAGAATAAATATTTATTGATGGCATTAATAAATCGTTAAATTATTGTTCGTAATCCCTCTATTTTAGAACAAAAAATATTACACTACGTCCAATTGCTATATAATCAATATAAATAATTTTAGAAGAAAAATTTATTTCTTTATAATAATAAGAATAGAATTAATCATACTTTTTCGAGATCCTCATGAAGTATTAACTGGAAAATTTTTACTGATAACATTTGAATCAATATATTGAAGTTATTTTTTCTCTATGTAATCTCTATTTCGGAAGAGAACTAGACTAGAAAAATTAAAACTAACTATAACCAAACTGACTAATATCGAGAAAGGTTTTGTATTCAATGTAGATGTAATTTGATTTACACTGTTCGCTGTTTCAGAATGAGTTAATGAGTGTTGCTGATTTTTTCTTTTCTAGTTAGTTAGTGACTATAAATCAACAAGAGAAGAATGGTATGGGTGTAGGATGCGGCGTCGGTTCTGCTGTAGCCTACGGCATTCTTTTCAGCTAGACCTGTAACTCCATTCACTGCAACACATAGGCTCACACTCTTATACTTCGTTTTTTCACTAACTGCGCATTTGTATTTATATGTCACTTGTTTTCATAAATAAGAAACAGATTAGAAATGTATAGTGACTGTTCTGCTGTGTGTTCAAGACAAATTAACCACCATTGATAGGTGAAGAAGTCGACTTAGCCGAGAAAGTTCTATAAGTACACATGTTTAGTTTCTTGTCAATGCCTCTTTGGATTGAAAGTTTTTTATTTTATATGTATATATATAAAACAAAATGAATGCTGTAGCATTTGATTTGCTTTCATTGTTCATGGTCAATACTTTATGAATATGATCGTTCCTTTTTTCCTTTATATAATGCCCATAATGAGACATCAGCTACTTTGACAATTTTGAAGTGCACACCAGGAATATCACCGACGGCACGACCTTTACGACCCAAACCGGCAACCAGAACTTCATCATTTTCCTATGAACAACAAGAGAGATATTTGTTAGAATGTGAAGAGCATATCACACACGTCTATAAAATTAAAACAACCGTCTCTTGGTACAAAAGCTGTGATTATCTTGCCATTTTTGATTAATTGAACTCGAAAACATTTACGAACAGCAGAATTAGGCTGTTTGGCTTCGACACCACTGAAACGTCACAGATCAATTTCTTCTCTGATTAGCACAAGTATGAACAAACATACATGCTTTGAATCAAAATGTCCTTGGCATGCGAAGCACCACCCAATGGATCACTCTTCCAGTCTGAACCCAAGTGAGATTTCTTGTAGTCTTTATCATGCCAACGTTGTTTACGACGATGATTATTCAATTTACGAGCCGTACGAAGACCGCATGGTTTACCTGAAAATAACTAGTCATAATCACATGATGCGAAAAATTAAAATCGATCAATTTACCCATTTTGTTGCAATGCAGATAAGATATCAGTTGCTATCTGAAAAAAAAAACTACCGTAGTTGGTATGAATAGCATTGCATAAACAATATTCGAAATCATTCTAGAGAAAAAAATTTCATTACAATCCACGATAATCGATCGTAACTAAGTAATCATTGGCAATCGAAAATCTTTCGAATTAATTATTCTCACGTGAAGAACGATATCGATTTGACAGAATGAAAAGCTTTAATGAAAAAAAAGTCAAAGAAATATTCCTGAAAAATGTCATAAGTCAAAACCGGTAAGTTAAATAAAAGAATTTCTATACGATGAAATTGTGTAAATGACACGTGTTGCTCACGTACCTATTTCGTAGTAGAGTGTTCATTTCATTTTGAAATTCTCTTCATTTTTCAGTTAACGTTATAACTGCAATTAGTACAGTGCCACAACTTGATCGTCTGGTAGTTTCATGGGCTATGAAACATTCGATACGCTTTACGCGCGAAAATATAAGTAAGAATAGTCTTGTGCAATATTTCATTTCCTATTTGGTTATATGGAAATAAATGATGTTTGTTTCTTCAAAATTATGCAATAACTATTTTATGAAGTAACATGTAGTTAACCAAGCGTGTCCATTGTTCCTTTATGAAACCTATGCGTCAGAAAAACAATAGCGTTGATTCATCGTTATCAATAAATTTTCTTCTGTCACACTTCATACACTGCATAAATGAAATCATTAGTAATATTTACATTTTGATTGATATGAATATTTCTTATCTTCATTTTTGATTTCTATCAGATAATATATCATCTTGAAATGCAACAGTTAAAAGTTTGAATGAATAGAGGATAGAAACGATAAAGTAAGTTATACACATTTATTTTATATTTCTCAATCAGTTATATTTTAACAATTAACGAGGGAACTACATGATATGTCTCTCTTTCTGATTTCACTGATTGTTTTGCGGTAATATAATACAATTTGATGATTAATAAAATAAACTATTGATTGAATTCAACAATACAATATCATGATGTTTCCCATAAAATTTGGTAGAAAACATGAGGATTTTTTTCCCGAATTTGGCTAACGGAAGAAAATATCAGACATTTCTCTCTTAGAGAAACAAAATGGTCATTATTACAAACTTTTATGACTTATCTTTATCAATTGAGTAATGGGAATAATTAAATCATACGTGCAATAAAGAAAAGAGAGATACAATCAAATATGTATATGAAAGTCTGTCTATTTCGATCGCAATGTAATGCCCGATCCATTGTTTCGGCTATCATTCAAATTTTAAAAAAGACCACTCAGAAGAACGCTGAAAACTACAAAACTTAGCAATTTCATGATTTTTTTTTTTTTTGAATGTTCTTACTTGAAATTCAGAACGACTTTTCCTAAAACAAACATTGATTTTTTTTTTAATCGGTAACCATAATAGAATCAAATGAGCACAAATGGTGCCTATGCTATACTAGAATAGTTATCGAAGAACGTTCAAGATTTATTCTTTCGGGAATTTTCTTTTGATATTATTAATCATCTCTCTAGTCCTATATATTTTATTGTACTTGTATTATCACATCTGTTCGTTTACTGATAAAAAGTACGCATAAATATTTTATAACAATATGACAAAAGCTAATCCAAGACAAATCAAAATTTTATTCTTATCATGTTGGTAGCGTGACTATATCTGTCTGGTGAGAAAAGATTTTATATGATTAAATGTTGACTTTTCAATAAACACTTAAAACAAGCATAGAACAGATATCAGAGATTATTTTCAATATCAAGAAGATGATTTTTTTTCTAACGAGGGAACCGTTCCAAGTGATTCACGCCGATTTTGCTTATATTTTGCCCATATGTAGGGGTCAGTATGCTAAGAAAAAGCCTAAGAGGATTTGGGCCCATGTG